CCCAAACTCTTCTACAGGTCTGCAGCTGGAAGAGATGCTTTTGACCTGTACTTTCCTCCATTTAAATAAACCTTTGCACCAATCCTATATGAGAACATAGACAATGTCTGTGTAGTAATTATACGACTTATTTCCCTTTCAGTAGATTGAACTTGAGAATAGGAGAACAGAACTGTCACTGTCAGAAAGCCCTTCCATTCTGGAATTACAAAAGGGGATGAAAGCTGCCAGAAATAGGACAAGAAAGCAGGACCATTAAACATATAGGAAAGAGTTAAGTGTACACATCAACTGGAAAGCTGTTGACTGGGAATATTTGTATACCCCAACTGTTATCTCCCATGTCTTTGCTAAAAAACACAGTTCTTCCAACAGCCTCAATTGCAAAGCAGTGCTTTTTTATCCTACTAGGTTTTCACCTAGACAGTACTATGACAACATCAAAAGCATAGGTAATTCCTTTCCTCTTTCTATTCACTTCCAAAGCTAGCCATTATCACTAATAATCAGATAAATCAAAATATAACTATAATGTAAGTTTATATACTTCTACTAACACTATATAGCTTAAAACATGGTTAAAAGATCACCATGACATGTATTCCATTTATATTAATAAAACTCCATTTATCTGTTTATTAATAGTGAAAATTTAGCTTAAAATACATCTATAAAATAAAGTGTCACCAATGTTATGTGATGTTGAAATCTGAACAGCATTAAGTAGCAATAAAACTACACTATGTCAGCACCTTGGCAAAAATATCTTTTCACCCAGCAGTTGATAAAGAAACATGATAATGTCACATCTGAATTAAAACAAGACGGATATTTATGTAGAGGTCTAGCACAGAGCATTCACCATAAAGAACACACCTGATAGAAATACATCTATTTGTACCACATTCGCCTTTCTTAAAATACACATCATAAGTGTTCATTTCATTAGATTGTTGGAAAGCAAGACTTTTCAATTCCTTATAGTGGCTCAGTTTAATACATTGCAATGATGGATTGATAGTAAATTGCCTTGTTAAACAGCAGGCACTTACAGAACTGCACCAGGCAGCCTCAGCTGTGCCTTAAGCAAATTTCTAATACTCTTACCATGTCCCTCATTGACATACGCAAGTATATTTGTTTGTGCCTGATCTCTTCATAGATGTTGTGCCTAATGAAACCATTAAATCAAGCTGCAAAAGGGCTATTTATCAAAAAGTAAACACCTCTGAATAGAACTCACACTTGTTCTCATGCATCTCCAAGGCAAGGGCAATTAGGAGTAATCATTGCTAGAATCACTTTTATATGGCTCTCAAGCAGTAATCCTGGAACCTGTAACAAAGCTTACTACCTAAGAATACAACAGTTCATATTTTCAAAGCTCAAAAATTCTCTGAATCCAATTAGGGATCTCTCATTAGCAAAGTGGGTGCATGAACACAGCTGATTTGCTTGTAGCCATTTGCGTACATCAGGTATGCAGAAATATGTGCAAGTGTGCGTGACCTGCAAGGCAGAGAAGTCTTTCTATTAAATAAGCACAGCTATGCCTCAATCTGTGCTGCTGCCCTGTGCATGAGCTCCAGGCAGTAGGTCACACAATTTGAGAATAACCGAGGCATGAGGCAGTAGCTAAGGGTAGACCAGGGAGTGGACACACTAGAAAGCAGTTACATCCCCACGAGGATTTTATCCCAAAGAAAAGGCGGCTCAGGGGTGACCTTATTGCTCTCTACAACGACCTGAAAGGAGGTTGTAGCCAGGTAGGGGTTGGCCTCTACTCACAGGTAACAAGCAACAGGACAAGAGGGCATAGCCTCAAACTGTGCAGGGGAGGTTCAGGTTGGACATCAGGAGGATTTCTTTACAGAAAGTGTTATTAAACATTGGAATCGACTGCCCAGGAAGGTGGTGGAGACACCATTCCTGGAGGTGTTCAAGAAACAACTGGATGTGGCACTTGGTGCCATGGTCTATTTGCCAAGGTGGTGTTCGGTCACAGGCTGGACTCAATGATGTCAGAGGTCTCTTCCAGCCTAATTGACTCTGTGATTCTGAGGATAACCAAATCCCTTGGCTATTCAATAGATGTGCTTCCCTGGCTGGGGGCAGGCTGATCACCTGCATATAGCACATGTGGGCCCCGAGCAGCAAATCCTGCCTTCTAAAATCCATACCACAAGAGGTAGTGAAGGACTATGAATGAAACTGGGGACTGACAAGCAAGTCTCAGGTAAAAGTATGTGTATGACCTGACAGATCTGAAAATGCAAAAACTACTCCACAGTGCACAGAAGGGTGGGTCATCTCCATTTCCTCCTCAATAAACACACAATGTGAAAACCCAGGATTTTCCTTTTACCTCTTGCAGAGGAAATAATTAACTCACAAATACATTCAGTGCCTCGAAGAAGTCAAGGAACATAAGGATGCCAGTGATCGAGTTGGTATATTTAGAGTTTCCAAAAAGCTTTTGACAAAGTTTTTCACAGAATGTAACAGTTATATTTCACAGAATATAACTCTGCTATAAGCTACCACCAGAAACAGGATGCCAGAGTAGGGAGATTGTAGCACTCACCAAAGGCTCCAAGAAACTGAGCTATCATAGGGCATAGAATGCCCCTTCACAAAGAAATAATGTTCAAAGGATAGAAAACCAAGTATACCTTTTATATTCTATAATACCTTCTCTTGCCAACTTGATTTTGTTCCAGAGATGGTGATATTTCAGTCCTAAGCAATACCACTATCTCTCTCAAAAACATGCCATGAATCTTCACATCCAAAAAACCACAGGGAGGCGTTTGATCAAACAGAGCTACAGATGTGTTTCCACAAACACACTGGTAACATTCTGGCTCTATAAGCCAGAAGAGAGCCTGGGAGCATTCGGTTTGTTGCTGAGGGTGAAGACTTGTGAATATTTTAGTTTCTCTCAGTTATGCAGTCTTCAAAAAAAAAAAAAAAAAGGTTAGCAATTTAAACGTCAACCTTCAAGTTGATGTTTACCACCTTAAAAAGCAGATGACAAAGAACAGTCGTTCATAAATGGGACTAAAGTTGGCACTGCAGAGACTAGGAATGCAACTTCCCAATGACTCAGCTGCAACAAGGGATATTTTTGTGATGCATCTACTCTTACTAAATGGAATTCGCTTTTACCTACACATCTTGGTTCTTAAGATGCTTTTGAAGCAAAACCTACACACTTTTCCAGCTACAGGTTAGCATATTATTGGGGGAGAAAAAGGGGAAAAGAATGACAAATCACAGAAATACAGAGACTCAAAAAAGATCTTATACAATTATTTTTTGTGCTTTGAGCTCTAAGGCAAAAATTGCCCACTTTCCAGGATGTTTAATTTAATTACCACAGCCTACAAGGATATTTAAGCAGCAGTTAATAGAGGGTAAAATACAAAATAAGTAACAAGTGTTCTGTTTATGTGCATTTTTCTTTGTATTGTGATTTGGTCTGTATCTGGTCTTTACGACTCACGCTCCACTGATGTGTCATGGTCTTTTAAGCTTCAACTGCCAATGCTCATTAACAAGTGAGCCCAACACAGAATTAGAAACAACTTTGAAATAAATCCTCAGGCTATACCATCCAAACTGACTGCACTCTACTACTGTTTGGAAAGGCAGTTGTATTTCCACTTCAGTCTGCAATCCCTTCATAAGCCTTACCTCTTGATGATTTTACAAGCCTAAGCCTGAAGATAAACTGGACCCTTACCAGAGCAAAGAGAAAGAATATTTCTACAATTGCTACGAATTGTATTATCTTGAACACAATCAAAATTCTGCATGAGGGCCACAATGAAAATTTCCCAAAGGCCTCAAGAAGCCTCTGATTTGTCAAGACAAAGCAAAAAATCATTTTAACTTGGACACATGGCCTGGGAATGGCTTCAGCATGCGCTCCTTCTCATTGACTGGATTATACTGCTTTCTGTCTTACTTTGAGCCTGTACCCTATTATGCAAATATAATTTCCAAAGTAAGGCTTCCTCCCCTCAGTATTGCCACATGTTGTGTCACAATTTAGTAACTGAGGTGAGTGGCAGCTTATGCTTCAAAATCCACACATCTGCTTTTTAAAATGAACAGCAGGATCTAACACTTAAAAAATCTCATTTTTCTTCTTAAAATCTAATTATAACTGTCAAACGTATTAACTATTGTATAACAAATCAACACACAAAAGAAATTAGATCCAATTATACTATGGCATTGTATGGTTTTCTCTGGTACCTCAGCTTGATCCTACAACTCAGCATCATACTTCTTTTTTTGAGTTTGACCTCTCCACTTTCTAGGTAACAAAGGGTATATACATTCATGGAGGGAATAGCATGACACACGTACAAATGCTTAAAAGATTATATTATAGAGAAATGTAGTGTTGTTACTGGAGAACAGCCACTGCTTTAGGGCATGAAGTTCTGAAATCCAGGCAAGGCTTACAAAAATTCTGTTCAATATGTGAGGCTGATAAGATAAAGGAAGATAAAGGCCCACTATTATGAATCAAACATTCAGTGCTCCCACATTTCATGGCAGTCTGATGAAATCAAGTGCTAAATACTCTGAAAAATCAAGCCTTTTTCTGGCTTGTTTGAAAACAAAATCCCAAGTCTCAAAATATTTCCCCACTTTTTTTGTGAAATGAAATAAATACTCATACACTTCATCCAGAGTGTACAGCAGCACATCCTGGTAGCAACATCCCACAGCTGTTGTTCTCAGTGTTCACAGTAGTTTTGTGGATGCTGACTGGTCTGAAAGTCACTGCAAAAATCACCAGCATTTTCTATATTGATATTAAGACTGTCATTATGAGTTAATATAACAACAACGACGTTATTAACTTCCTTGCCATGACGAACAATCAATACAATTCTGCCAAAACTCTTCTATTCATGCATGCAATATGTGAGCAGCACCAGACAAGTCTCTACCATTATTTTAACAAAACTACAGACAAGCAGTTAAGCACAAAAGATCACTTTATTTTTCAAATCATACCCCCTCTCATTCTTGAAAAGGTGTATTTCTAATTGTCACTATTTTAAATATACTCTATATTTTCCTGTGAAGTTAAATACTTTGAAGAAGAATCCCCAAAGAAATAAATACAAAGCACAACAGTTTCACTTTATGATTTGCTTTGAGCATTGTCTGGTCTGGCATCCACTCTGTCAAGTTTTGCTGTTCTTTGAAACTCTTGAAAAAGAAATCCACAGTCAGCATTCCTTGCTCTCCAGAGCCCTCTGCTTATCAGCTGTTAATACAAACTGTTAATACAATGCCAGAGCATGCACAGAATAGCTTACAGCAGTTTAGTAATTCTAAAACTTTCATTACAAATACACATGTTGCTACTAAGGAAATAACTGGGATGCTTCTTTTCTGGATGCACATAGAAAATTCCATGTTACAAAATGTTGTTTGATGATGTCCACGTCTGCTGGTGAAAAGGAAATCAGTACTAACAAGGTTTGCCGGGTTGTACAATGGATAACTTACAAAACCAGACAATTCCCAAAGTTATCAACTGGATCAACTGCAGCACAATCTGCAACCATCATTTTACCTGAAACCTAATTAGCCCAAAGGGTTGGTAATGCACATCCATTGCAGTATAAAATGATACCAAGGTCATCAGAACATGCCTTGTGGGGTTTGTTCTCATATGATGAGCACAGTCCAATGCAACAGCACGGCTCCTGCTCACAGCCAGAAAGGGAGGTCTGACGTTGCAATTTTATGGCGGTTGTCATGGCAATGGAGAGGGGAAAGTAGTCCAGTGCAGGCAGCATCATGTCCCTTCAAAGAGAAAGTTGAAGCACTTCCCATACCAGAAGCTGCTCTCCTGAAAAGCTTTTCTTGAAAGAGGTATCAGCGTGAGCCTGAATGGGTGTGGCTGTGAACTCATCCCAGTAACATGTCTCACCTGGAACAGTACTCCTGAAAATGCAATCATGGTCTGGCAGGCTGATTTCGCTACATACACATGAACTTAAGGAACATACAAAGACTATGATAAATTCTAAAAATTGCAGCTGAAACTCGTACCTGTTCACAACAAGGTCTGAGGTAGTTTAGAACCACTCTATGAGAAAGAAGGAAAGGGATTTAATGCACAAAAATTTCAAGATACAATTATAATTGCTACAGAGAAGGGGAGTGTAACAAAGTGTAAAACAGATTTAAACTACTGTCGGTCAGGAAAGAGGAGCTAAACACAGAAATAAGTGAAAAAGTTCACTAAAAGCTAAACTTCTATTTAGCCTGGCTCTGAACATTAACATTCACTACAAAAAAACCCCAAAAACCAAACAACAAATCCAACAACAATAATGAAATTGAGCAAAGCAGAAAGGAAATTTTACAAGAGATTGGACAAGGTTAACAGGCATAGGGTCCAAATTGTGAAGTAGCACTGAACTTCACAAAGTGAATCCACATGCTCAGTGTGATGTTTGGATCTCTGACAGCTGAAATACCTTCACACAGGGCCACTGAAAAGCTAGAAATGCTTTTGAGATTCACTTTTGATGATGCAGTTTATTTAGAAAAGAATATTTATGTACAATCAATGCATTAAGCAATGCACAACTAACAAATTGAGCATATATCTGGGGCATCAGGGTGAGAAAGAAATACTTACATTTATATTTAAGCATAATTTAGATTAACCAGCACAAAACCTGACCTATTTCTTAAGTCAACAGTACACTTCTTACTGATTTTTCTCTTAAGGGTAACAGATTTTAAACAGATTAGGGAAGTACAAGGTCCAAAAGGGTTAGTATTTTGCATATCCATAGACAGCCAAATTTAAATGCTGCTCACTAGCACTTGTCAGCCTAGTGGCAGTTGCCTTTAAAGTCTGATGTGATTGAAAGGGGATGAGGATATTTTATTCAGCATATGACAAAGAGGAAAAATAAAGTTTTAAAATTCCTTAAAATATCACAATATGGAGGAAAGCTGCAGGGAACACCAGTGATATGATGCTAGATAGGGAGGAAAAGAGAAGTAGTAACAAGCAGATTGGGGAATGCATGTAGGAAAAAGTAATAGCTGAGAAGACTGGAGACAAACAGAACTAGCTCAGACCACAAGAATCATATCTTTGTGTTGCTCTTCCCATAAAAACTACTAAAGCCTCACTCCCTACGTTCTCTTTTAGTGCTCACATTCAGGTGAGTGAGATTCCTTAACAAAATTCCCTAAATTAAAAAAGAAAGGGCATGCAGAAACACATCTTTGCCAATAGTCACTTCAACTTGGGTAACACATACATTTTCTTTGCTATATATGCACAGATGCAACCGTGCAATTCCATACCAGTCTTTCCCTTAAACTGCTCCTTGCAACACCAGCTCTTGCTTTAAATGACATTTTTAAATCTAATCATCTACCTTCCATGAATTTTGTATTATTGTATAAAAACATTCACTTTAAGTATTTACGTCTCAAAATGAATAAGGGACATAATTCCTGAAATAGATCCAAAGAAGAAGAAGAAATGCTTTACTGTGAGGGTGGTGAGACACTGGAACAGGTTGCTCAGAGAAGCTGTGGATGCCCCATCCCTGAAGGCGTTCGAGGCCAGGTTGAACGGGGCTCTGAGCAACCTGGTCTAGTGAAGGTGTCTCTGCCCATGGCAGAGAGGCTGGAACTTGATGATCCTTAAGGTCCCTTCCAATCTGAATCATTCGATGATTCCCTGCTTCCTCTACTGAAAAGAAGCTGTGATAACTACTGTTCACTGGCACATAGCTCAGACATACAAACTCTCATCTGAACAGTAATACTGTCCAACTTACTTGATATTTCAGGAGTCAGCTGTACTTTTTGGACATGTAGAATTTGGTGTAAAAGATCATATAGGTTTGTTTTGTAAATTCCTCAGACTACTAAATACATACTGAAGTTGTTCATGTATATCTGCCAAATCTCAGGAGTCACTGGATAATTCAGAAAATTATGACAAACTAGGTTACCTTGTTTTAACCAAGCATCTGCACAAAGAAAATAGATGTGCCAAGATAATAAATATGAAAAGAATGAGTAAAAGTTCATTTTACCAATAGTGCAGCTTTCCTCCTCTATTATAGCTCGGGGCCTAAAGTAATAGGAGGCACTGGAGAGGCATGTTTACACCTGTGCAGGGTGATGCCACCACTCATTCAAGCTTTTAGTAATCTGAACTTCAATTCCATTATGGTTATGTAAGGAATCAATTATCATTTTTTGCCAAACATCGAACTACATTATTCTATTAAGGCTGGAAGGAATGAGTAAGAGAAGAGAAATAATTCTCTAATGACTGTTTGGTGATAATGTCCAATGCCAAGGGTGGAAGGAACTGATTCTTCACCTCCACCATTTGTATGTATCATAGTAATGAAACACATACAGAATGATAAAACTGGTATGTAGTTGTACTGCCAGTCTATTGGTAAATGACAGATATCTGTAGTTTCCTCATTCTATACTGAAGTTTTTAATTTGGACTTTCTTTCTCTAAGAAAAGCAGCAGGGTGGCTTTAAAACTTTTCACAGTAAACAGTCAAACACAGACCCAGATTCTATCATGGAATATGAGTGAGACTTTGACACTATCTCAGCCAAAGCTTTGCAATGAAAGCTTGGGAAGGGCCAAAAAGACTGCAGGGTGTTTTTGAGCAGTTAACTGAAATCATATGAAGGCTCACTCTGTAAACACTGCAAGCCATAGCAGACAAGGCAGCTAGGAGGAATATCTGTGTTCTTTGGACTGCAGCCCTGCCTTTGAAATTAGCATTTAACTTGCTCTATGTTTTATACACCCCAGCCAAAACACCAATACTTGACAACTGGGCAACAAAGCACTTTGGACCTGCTCACCCACATACCTTGTTTGGACATTAGTACTTAAGTAACCATAACATAGTCACCATCCTGCCATACCACAGGAGCAGCAGTTCAGACATGCCTGAAGACATTTTATTTGTTTGTTTGTTTTTAGTTTTGGAGCTTTAGAGCCTGTTCTAAATTCAAGCTACATAATTAGCTACTAGCTTGATTTAACATATATATATGTGTGCACACATATATGAACATTTAGGTACTCCTAAAACCTGACCCAGAACTTTTATTTTTGTATCCTGAACAAAGCTTTGTGGAGCTTCTATATATATATCTAAGTTAACTAGTAAAACTGACAACAACAATCAGTTCAGAGAGAACTAATGATTCTAACCTAAATAGACCATTAACTGAGAAACTGGGATGAGAACCAGGCCTCGAGCACCCCCTGGGATCTAAAAACTATTATTTCTGAAGCATGGTTTAGTCCTCTGGCAACTAGTATGACACACAAGCCTAAACGTTTACTCTTAAATATATTAATTCTTACTGGTTCTGATTATTTGCTAACTACTCTAGCCACAACAACAAAGTTACCAATGCATTCACTTGCTTATCTGACAGTATACTAACATCTGTCAGAATATCAGCCAATTAATATCTTCATAGAGAAATGCAATGTATAGCATGTGAAATCAAATCTAAGTTCTAGTTCCTTATTGAGTGTCTCTGAACCGGCATCACTTTTATTACCAGAACTACGAACACACAACAATCAGACAAGAATGGCATTAACTTTGTCTTCTAATTTTTGTACTGAACATTTAATTAGATTGCAACAATTACAGACATCTTTTGCTTTCTTTCACGGAAACTAACTCTCATCAAGTCAGATACTCAACTGAAAATCCTCTAATGTTACCATTAGTAAAGATGAAGATGCATGAAATTGAATTTTTCAGTAATGCTGAGAAGCACTGAGCTCTTACATGAGTTGTCATAATAAACAAGAAAACCTGATTTTCGTGAGGAAAAAAAGAAAGAAAGGGAGCTCTAAAGGAAGGAAACTGCAATGAAAAAGAGTTCCTACTCTAAGAAAATTGGTATGTCTTTTACATTAGACTTGGGTTAACCTCTCTCATTGCAATTCCATTTAACAAGTCGTTTGACCTTATTTTAGAGCTGATTGGAAATGGATTGAAAACAGAGCTGAACAATTTTGTCTCACTTAAAAAATTAATTTTCCCAGATAATAATTTTCCCCTACATTTCTGTGAATAAAAAATCCTTTTATTTGCATTTCGGAAAAGTTAACTAAACAAAAAGATTTTTAGAAACGCCTTTGTTGAGCTCCACATGAGTTAAGTCTAAGTCTGAATTCAACCCATGGAAGAAAAACTGAGAAAATGAGGCCTGGGGAACTTAAAGATACTAAAGTACCAAAGAGAATTAATGGCTCAATAATGACAATATAGTTAGTTGCAGTATGTAGAAATCTAACAGCAGGTCTATTTCATAGTTTCTGACGAGAAAGCCATGAATGCCTGGTCAGTTCTGCTCTATCCTTGTTGCAAATAAAATATGAGTGATTGCACAGTTCTGAATAACTATAGTATTTCATCACTCTGACAAACCCTGATACTAAGCCATAACAGCACTACTTACTTTCACTGAAAGGAAAAACAAAGGTAAAAAAGAAAAGAAAAAAAAAAAACTTCAGAAGAATATACAGGAAGTACATTTGAAATTGGGAGTCAATAAATACAGACAATAATTAGACAGAATGCAAACATTCACACCAAACCACAACTCAATTCTGTGTGGTGTCTTCCTCTGTCACTAGTAATACCTTGCTGATACAACGTTTAAAAGAGGCCTCTTCTAGGCAATACAGGTATTAGGGGTGTTTGTTGGTGGGTAATATTAGAAGACCCAGCAGAGTTCAGCTCTCTGAAAACATTATTTCTTTAAATAAAAAGGGTAAAGGTTGAAAATGTGAAGTTTTGGCAGGGCTTGCCTTAAAACCCTGGGAGCTCACCGGGCTCACCTTGGTGACAGGTTCTAAGAGCAACTCTGTATAAAATAAAGACTGAGAAGGGCCATTGCGAGTAAGTCTGATACTAATACCTGCAGGAAGAGACAATGCAAAGTTGTTGGGTTTTTTATTGATTTATGGGGGTAAGGAAACGAAGAGTCTACAGGACCTTGGGAGTTTTTGCTCTGGGAATCTCATATATGTTCATTCATATTCTTGGCAGAGAGTGAATATCATGGGAAATAGACACTTCTGCTCCACAATGAGTCACAGGACAAGATCAAAAACATGTGCAGTAGGTTATAGTCTACAAGATCATAAAAATTAATTTTGTATCATAAAAATTAATTGTGCACATTAAAGATTGCAAATGGAAAAATCCCATTCTTTCTCTGGGAGCCTAGACTCAGAACAGCTGGCACAACCTTTTCCTAATTTTTTTTTTTTTAACATTCTCTACAACAGTGACTACTAAATACTAACAGCTAGAAAGTTATGCCCTTTGCTCCACAGTTTGACAAAAGCAGACTTGTTTGATCAAACTGCAAAGAAATACCATCACTCACACAAAAGGACTTATATCTACCAAAGGCAAGACACACTCCATGCATCTCAGTAGTTCCAGCATGGATTACAACAGGAAAAGTTTTCTGCTTTTACTTTTCAAAGGGAAAAAAAATTCAACTTTTTGGACCTGTACTTAAACAAGAGGGTTGTGTCCCCAGTAGCTGGTCTCAATTCTTTCATGCTCCAAAGGCTGCTAAGCCATAAGGTAATCAGCCATTAGGTAATCAGATGAGGAGGTGACTGTCACAAGCAGAATCCTGTCCCAGAACTGTCTGAGGCAGCTGTAGCACATACATTAGAAGTTTTATACAGCACAATGGGCATCCATCTTCACCAACAAGCATTCACAAGTCAGGAGACAGCAGTGGGAAGGGAGAGGACTGTATGCAAATGTATGAACTAAACGGTAATTTGGCAATAAAAATACTGTAATATTACTGATAAAGCCTAATCAATTTTATTTGAAAGAAGAAAGGACGCTTTTCTTATTAGAAATTCCTCTGATTCACTGCTACCACCGATTATATTTCTTTTTGGGTTTAGCACAACTAGTATCCAACAGGGAAATTATTTCAAATTAAGTAGTGTGATAAATTAACATACAATTTGCTATGTTGATATAACTCATTTTATCACTATGATTATGGAAAGCAAAACCGTATTTATCCTGTACCAGCTTTGTTTTCTTCTGATGAGGTTATTTATCACCATAGGAAATTCCAAGTTCATAAAACTGGTTAGCTGACATTTCCAATATAATATACTTTGTGAGGAGTAACAATTCTCCTAATCAATTTTGCCAATTACATCAGCATTTGTCTTAAAACAAAATCTCTTTATCCCATACTGAAAGACCAACATGCAGTTCTTCCTAAAAGTCATGCAGGTCTAGAGAGTAAGAGACTGCATCATCATCAGTGTGAAAACAGAATAAGCAAAGTAGCAGGCTATGCAATCCAGACAGACATGGATGGATAATGAATTCTGTGACTGTAAAGTAAGAACCAAATTTTTTACAATACAGTGCAAAAGCATCATATTTTGTGAGGATCATGAGAAATGTTAATGCACACACAGCCTGTGAATTTTTAGTTCCAGACTGTAAAACAATTTTTCTTGGAAAAATGTAAGTTATCTGCAAATTCTTCTTTCTGTATTTGAAGAACTGCTTGTCAGTGACCAGATGCAGTTCCACTTTTCTAAACCAAACATTTTTGATGATCTGCTGCAAGTTGTCTTAGAAACGCAAGCAAAATTTAATCATCTTCAGGAGTGAAAAAATATGCTTTTCTTCAAGATGGATGTTTGATTTAGGAATTTCCTTTTTGAGTGTAAGAAATGACAACTTTGTACTTTGAAAAGTCAACTAAGGTCAAGATTAATATAGATACATTAATTAGTTTGTTGATATCATGAATGCTTTTCTTGTCATCCCACTGATGAATGAGGGAATTTGCATCTCAGCAGGTAAACATGTCTGATACTTCCTTAATCTGCTGTACAGCATTGACTACAGCCAAAAATAAGAGACAAACTGGAATACAGGCTCAAAATTATTTAGAAAACAGATTACTAGTTACAAAGGAATATGAATGAAGAATCACTTTTAAAAATAACATATATGCTGGACTGATGTGTTCCATAAATATTTTTTTTACTAATGAAAGCCTCTAGGGAACAAATACTTATTTCATATGCCTTCCATTCTGCTCCAGTAATTTTAGATTTCCACTGTAGCTCTGCCTTTTATTTCCTTCTGTTTTCCTTGCCTTAGATTAGAGAGGTAGGGTGTTAATGGGGTAATTGATGAGGATTGAAGACCTATTTTCTCACCCCTTGAAGACCAGCCTGATTTGAACAAATCGAGGACAGTGAAGCAGTCTCTTCATGTGCTCAGGAAAAGCTTTTTCCATTTCAACGTTTCCAGCTTTCAGACATAGTCCCCTTCGTTCACAAAGAAAGAAAAGGTCCCAGCACAAGAAGGTTCTGAATAATTTCACAGAATGTCATCAAGGCTGCAAAAGCTCCCTTTCAACCTTCTTTATTGTTGGTGAGCATGTGAACGCAAGGTGGATCCGAGAGGGGAATGCAGGGGACTAGTGCTTGCAGCTCAAACAGGGCGAGAAACAAGCTACTGTCCAGCAGTCCCCACCTCTGTTGATGCTACTTCCTTACTACTCTCGTCCTTGTGGGTACTGTTTTGTGCTGGGCACTCAAAATGCACACAGTGAAACACCTGGAGAGAACAAAAAATGAAGATAAAGCAAAACAATTTAATGGTGGCAAAAGCACGATCAAAGTAAGATGAAGTCTATATGGAAGTATGCAGGCCAGATCAATGACAAAGTAATTAGTCAAATTAGAATGTTTCGCCATGAAGTCAAAAACATTTATCCATGGGCAATAAACTTTAGAAAAGGACACCAGTGGAGCAAGAGAAGGCCTTCAAATTATACCAACCTTTACATATGGCACTAAAAATCAGAAAAATGCTTCAAAAGTGGATAGAGATATTTGTAAATTATTCTTTTCCTTGACAAGTAGCAGAAATATCTACTACATGCTATCAGATGACAACAACAATTATATTGTCTTAAACATATCTTACAATATAATTACTTCCTCAAAAGGCTGAATGTTCACGTACACTAGAAATGAAATTTAAATCATTACCAACATGATTTTATTTCAAGATTGCCCTCTGCTGTAACAGCAATTGGAGCTCTACAGACATGTCCTGGAGTATGTAGAAAGGCATTCAGAGTGTCCACGGAGGCTGCTGCTTCATCAGATGAAATATTCCATTTCAAACAGTGATCATTTACTGATGTTTCAAACAATATCTGGGACCAGTGTACAGGTGACTGTATCTTAGAGGACCATCTGTTTAAGCATTTTTTCCATTTTATTTTCTACTTTACTTACTCTTACTTCTACTTACTTCTTGTTCTTGAAGTGCCTGGGAGGAGAAGGGGGAGGAACTCTTTAAAATTGTTACAAAACTTCTTTCCATATGATTTCTCATTGCTACGAATTGCACAGCTTTGCTACAGACTAAACATAAATCTTTTCTTATACTGTTTTAAAATCTGCTATTTTCTCATGCCTTATTGTTTTAAAGCTAAAGCTCATGAATATTAAAACCTGAATTTTAAAATTACTGTCTTAACTTTGTATGCTTTTATGACATTTTCTATAATTCTTGTTGAGAGCAGATCATGTTTTTAAAGCTCTTCTCACAAACAAAGATAATCTCTTATAATCTTAACTGCCCTTTCCCAGACCCTTTCAAGTTAATGTGGGCAAAATCAAATACCACAAACAAGACATGGACATACTACATATTCATACAAGACTACATAATATTATATTTTCTATCCTTTCTTCAATACAACCTAAAATCCTATTATTCTTTTTGACCATCCCTGCTCAAGTGCACACTGAGCAGACATCTGTGTTGACATGTCTGCAATAGCCCCAGGTCTTTTTTGAGGATGTAGCTAGTTAATTCCAATTCTGACAGCACACATGAAATGAATAAAGTATTCACAGTCACTCGTTTTTTTTTTAATCCCCATTATATTTTCTTGTGCCTCTCAGTGTAAGAATTCTTGCAGTTCTTTATACAGATACATGGTGATGCATGCTTATATTTCTATATTTATGTACATGCTCACATGCATTGCTATGCCTTTATAATATATACACTTATGAGCAGATTACAAATCCACACCCATAGCCACATACAGACACATGTGCACAAAATGGTTTTTCTCTGCTATTCTTCTGGCGAGTTTCTTTCTGAAGCTGAACTAATTCCTACAGCGGCATGAATTCTCTCCGTCTGTTACAGTTCTTGAGAAGCTGATTTTTGTATTTAGTTACACTTCTCGAGAAGCCCCTTTTGTACTCATCTCGCCCCCGTGTTTTTAAAGTAACAGCTATTCTCATTTTTCCAGCTGCACTTACAAGGATAAGGCCTTGCAGAAAAGAACATTCTCTCACTTCCGTAAGATGCTGCTTTCCTTGAAAGGCAGCACAGTCTAATGAATGGGATAGAAGTCTTCAAATCAGAAGATTCCATATTTCTACTGTATCCCACAACAATAGTGTTTATAATTTAAAACCTCACTTTACATAGTGATGCAGATTTTTTAAATACAGCGTAGGTAGCAATAACATTTATCTAATACTAGTCTAGAAAGTCAGAAGTACCTGATCCTTATATTCTAAATTTAATTTTTACTGATTCTTTCATACTAAATTCTTAATGCTCAAAACATCTGGCACATTAACAAGCCTGTGAATTTAGAACATTTTTCTCAGTTACTCTGCCACATCAAAATGTAAAGAATAGAGCATGTGAGAGAAGCATAAGACTGAGAAGCACAACTGAGCTCAATCGCTTCAGCTGGTATCGGAATTAAGTATTTCAGAACAGTATTACTAAACCAAAGAATCTTGCATGTGTTTCTCTCAAAAGAAAAAGATGACAGTTCAGCATCATCCTCTGACCCACATCAGTTATACTTCTCATGGATATTTTAAGAAAGGTCAGACATACAAAGAAGGAAGGCCAAGTACATACACACTGGTGCAGTAATTTGTAAGATAAAGCTCTCACATCAGCAACTAGATGTCCTTTTCAGGTCAGTAATACTGAAGAGGAATAACAAGGTAAACTTACATAAAGTATCAGGTGACCTGTCTGACAAATAAATGAAGACAAGAACTAAGGAAAAGTAATCCTTTTCTCTACAAAAGTAGCATGTCTGGGAGCTCAAGAGAAAACCCCAAAGTTACAATTCTATCTTGTTCTAATATACCAAAAAAAAAATTCAAATATCAGGTCAAAAAAATCATCGTCTTCCAAAACCTGGAAAACATGGCAAAGGTAAAAACAAGTTTAAAAGATTAAATAATTCACAAAGTGGAGAAATTTTATGGGATTTTTTTGCAAGTCCAAAAGTCAGCTCTTCACTTGGGGAAGTACAGATTGTGCTTCAAAGTTCAAAGGTATGTGTTGGTACAACAAGCAAGGAGTATTTTTGTACCTATTACAATAATACTCCTTGATAAAAATATGTTGCCATTAGTATATTTTATGTAAAATGAGAATGGTTTGACATAATATACAACCAGCTATGGGCAAATAATTATGGAAATTGCTGGTATTCTTACTGAAGAGACTACTGAGACCACAGACTCCAGAACAAACCAAGACTTCGGTTATGCTATTATTATTTAAATCAGAAATATGAAAAATATCTTGCTTCCTTGTTTGGAAAATTAAAATTTATGCCAAAATATTACAGATCATTTGTTTAATATATCTGTAATAATTTAGTAATAACGTGCACACCAATTATGTTCCTACTTTAAAGGATTCAGGAGAAATTAAAAAATAATAATAAAAAAACTAAACTAAATTAGTGTTGGGCACAGATTTTAAAAACAAAAGAGGAAAAGACCAAGAATGTGTCTATAAACACCAGCATGTGTTTATAATTCCACTGCGCCACTACATGAATAGCTGTAACCTCAATTTACACATACTGTTCTTCACTAGTTATGCATTGCTCTATATAAATAAATTACACAGGATATTAAAATCCTTGAAAATAGTAACCAGTTTGAAATTGGAATTACGGTTAAAAGCCCATTACTCTTCAGGGCTTAAAGCTACCTTTGAGAATTAAAAGTTGAAAGTGATATATACTGTAGGCTGGTTTGCTAGGTTCACTCAATGCACCTCATTCTTTTTTGACAAAGAGTTGAGAACGTACAAACACTGGTACGAGAGGAAACAAGACTGTCATTATGTAGTTGACAAACTCTAACTAATCCAAATGTAATAGTGCTATCTCAAGTTCTTTGTAAAGCGTGAAAGTACAATGGTTGGTGGTGAACTACACGTGTGGGATGTAGACATGCATGTGTATACACAGAAGCAGCAGCGTTTGGTGTCTCTTACAGTCTTGTCGTATAAAGTCCTAATCTCACAAAGACTTACAAATATTGTTAAATTCACATATTGTAAATTGTTTCATTGAAGTCAAGTGTAAAATCTGGACTTCATCTGAGACAATGCACAACGATTACAAAAGACAGAAGCACAAGTAAATAAAGAGAGGATGATACTGCACTTGGTTGGTTAAGGCCCATTTTTTTTCTGTATAAAATTAACAATATCTCTTGGTTTGGCCACTATTATTCAAATGATTTAACAGGTATGAAAATTGATTATAAATGAATCTTATGCAAATAAGATTTTCTTAAAAATATGGGATTTTTCTTATGTTTTATGAATTAAAAAGATAATATAAAAGTGATAAAAACCAAGTAAACAGAGACCATACACCTTTCTAGTGTGCTAAAATGGTATTTTCATCGTTTATTGAATAAGGATTAGTTTAAAACCAAACCCAGTAGAAATGTTTGATGGCAGTGTGGAAAGGTCAAAACCAGGAACAGATAATAACATCGTTAAACACTCACATAAGAAAAGCATTCATTCTAATTTTGCTAGATTGCCAGAGCAAAAAAATTAGGTGTGTACATTTGAGAAGGCCTTATCAATTTCACTGCAAGATACGAAAACCTGTATCGTTGTGTATGCATGAAGAATGTAGGTTTTCTTAAAAGTTCCTTACCTCATTAGCTGTGTTGCGAGTTCCAACTATTCTGATAAAAGATGCAGGCTGTTTATCAAAAGTGATTGTTTGCCAGGATCTACAAAGAAAATCCAGAAAGACATACAAATATTGAACACAGTCACAAAAGAATGCATTCAAGTGACTGTATGTACTATTATCACTTAATAGGGCAAATAGAGAAACACTTTCCATTGCCTGAATTTCCAGCATTCCTCCCTGTCCTAGTTAGAACAGCTGGGACCGATTCATCATTGGATGAGTGTAGCCCAAAACTGTGTATTCTATAGCCCTCCATGCCATTTCCCAGAAACTGTTGTCAGTAGAGGCCTGCGAGGTGGTCCCCCCACCATGCTCCTGTCCTCATGCCCTTTTGTGGAATTCCCTGACTGAGCACCCTCACACCCTTTTATGGAATTCCCCACTCTGAGGGAAGGACTGAACATCCTTTTATGGAATTCCCCGCTCTGAGGGAGGGACTAATCATTCCTGCCTGAGCTGGAGAATATACAAACCTGGAGTTTCAGAACCTTTCTACCTCTCGTGGGATCCAGAGGAGGACTGCAGCTCAGTGCTCTCAGCCGGACTGAGACCACCACCCTCAACTGAACTGCAATCACCACTTTGGCCGGACTGCAGCAGCTCTCCTACCATCAGGTTTTTCCCCTCTCTCTTTGCTTTGGACTCAGGGGGGCCCAGGGAGCACCGCTTTGTTTGTGCCCTGGGGTGTTGGGTTGTACATTTGGGCTTTGTGGGTTAGGGCCGGTTGCTTGTCCGTGTGGTCGTACTTATTGTATTATTTTATTAAATTGTTATTCTGATTTGTAATCTCTCTTTTGAGTTGGGTTGGTTTCCCCTGCTGGTTAACTTTTAAACTAGCACACTCCCTCATGTTTATTTTTAAGTGTCTTGACTCTGCTTATGTGATTTCATACATACCTTATACCACTATAATTTGTGTGCAGGAACATTAATCATACTATTGTTGAAAATTAAGAAAACAGTAAAAGAAAAGAAGCCTAAAGTCTAAAATCCTTGGCTAATATTGACTATATTAGATAAACAAAAGGTCAGACAAATAAAAGTAAATGCATTCTCCTGTTAACTACTCATGAGAAATCATCAGAGCTTGGTTAAAGAAATTACAGATCTAGGGAAAAAAATCCAACAAAACAAACCACCCAAAAACTCAAACTCGTCTCACTCTAAGTGGAGCAGTAGAGGCAGAGGAGCCAAGCTTCCTTTGTGTGGGTCAAGGTCCTTTCAGAAAATTATAAGCGACGCAAAGCATTCTTTGCAGGTCAGGTCGTGAAGATTTCCCCATCCTGACACAGAGGCAGTGAGGAGAACAGACCACTCCTCCAGAGCTGGCATATAACTTTTGGGGCTAGACTGAGAACACTAGAGGTACAGCGGGACCAGTATAATCTTTGTTTCTTATTCATACTGTTCTGATCTCGGTGAGGGGCAGCACCTCAAGTAATGTAATACACAGCAGGAAAAGGACACAACTTCCTACATACCTTTGTGCTTATAGAACACACTGACAGTAAAACACAAGAAATAAAAAAATACCAGGAAATAGAGGTTTCGGTTTGGTACCAGTCTTCCACTATACTAGATTAGTACTTGAACACATTAAAATTTAAATTATTTTACATCCATAAAACATGCAAATGAGATACACCATTTAACTTTTTGCTGAAACAGACTCTATCACAGATGGTTTCAGAAATAAAATGGAGTTAAGTCTAACCTGATTAACTCACTACAGAAGTAAAACATTGGATAGTTTTCCAGCATGGGTTCAGAATACCTTCAGAAGTGTTCTTATAAGAAAAAAGGACCAAAGCAAAACTGGAATAAAACACTACTCACCATCAATAGACTATCCCAAAGCCTGGCAGTATGAACAAATTGGTTGCTGACTATTTGTCAGACACTTGATTTTTCCCTTAGTAGAAAAAACCTTTTGTCACAAACATCGCATTTCTGGGATTAATTTAGTCTGCTATTACTTCTATCACTGCTGTCTGGTTGCTTTTGCTTAAAGAAGATTATGAGCTCAACTGAGACTGAATTTCAAGTAGTTTACTGGTCTTACCACATGAGGTAATGGGTGTAACTAGAGTTACTCATGATAACAGAAAGGTGTGGTCTGTGGCAGGCCTCAGACGTACAGCAGTTATCTACCTAACAGCATGGTTTATTTATATCCCTCATATGGTTATACCCTTAATTTAAAGCTCAGGCTGTTTCTTCATGCTCTAAATAAAATACAAAAAAATGAGAATGGATTATTTTGTTGGCTGTCCCAAGATCTGGACATTTAACTGTTATGATTTAAACATTTTCCCCCTAAACAGGACAGTAATTCCTGAATTTCTTTCTCAGATTACTCTAGTACAGCCAGTCAGTTAGTCCCCATGGCCAAACAGAACTTGTTACCTTGAAGTACAAAGTCCCAAAGATGAGCAGCTGGGACAATAAGATGATCACAACACTACTTCACACAACAAAGCATTGCCATAGTTTGCATTATGTATATGCTTTCACATTTACACACATACACACTTTATGCAAGGACAATGATGCTGTAAAAATCAGATTTCCCTTTTTAGTGATTTGGAAAATATTTTAAAGCTATTAGAAATAAAAGAGTATAAAATCCTAAAGAAGCTATTAAGAACAGCCCATGCCTTCCTAGACACCCAGGTAGAGTTTGTGTTCCATGACAAGAAAATACGTTAATTAGAGATCACAGAACAGAATATAAGTGGGTCTGTATTTATTTCTACTATTTCTGAGCACTGGCCAAATAATCACTGCAAGAGCTCAGTGCAGACTTTCCAAGGATGGCAGTAAATGCAGTTGTTATGATGTGATAACAAGAAAGCTGATGCATCTATTTGGAAATACAGCTGAAGAGCACAACAGATAGTAAGAGGGGTTGAGAAAAAGATCTCTGAAGATTGTTTTGACAACACACTTCCAGGTCAGCTCATCCAGGCAGTCCTTAATTTCTCCCATGTCCCACTTCATTAGAAGCCCTTACTTTCTGCTACAATGCTGTTCTTAGTATTGGATTATAATTACGCCTTTAATAATATTAAATCATGATGGAAAAGAGTAAAAAAATTTCTTGAGGATGTGAGGCCTGGAGGGAGATCGGTTTTTCAATAAATTCAGTCCCAAAAATATTTACTGTTTTGCTATGTGTCCATTTTGTGCCTTTCCCATCGGAAAATCAAAATTGTAGGCCATTTGTAGAAGAGTTATTAAAATTCAAGAATAGTGCCACTAGAGAATTAGTACTTGATTGTATAATGAGAAAATTAGGTCTCTTAGTTTATTTCCTTAGCAAAAAGAAAAAAAAAAGTAAAATAGAAAACACACCAAATGGATTTGCGAAGAATCACTTTTGAAATAAGCAAGGCAAACCTTCTTCACTGGAAAGTTTCATGGATTTGGCTGCAGCAGTACATTTGAGAACATCAATATATGCAAAGCAATAGCTCTCCAGTACAGATATAATTATGCATCAAAGAGATAATTTATGCGTGTAACTATACCCATATGAGAAAAGAGATTACTGACAGAACATTATCAAGGCATATCTGACCTCTTTTTGCATTTTTTGCTGATATAACAAATTCACTAAGACTTCTATTTATGTATCAGGCCATAACAATTGTTCAGTGGTGTTCCTTGATTAAGGACATTGTGGGTAAGCCTTAAGTTTCTTTTTAACCTTCCTTCTTTACTACTAGTAAAGCAGTACATATCTAGTCATGCCATGCATATTTGCTTACTTTATATTTTCCTCACAGGAGCTAGTCTTTCTATTCTCAAAATCGCTTTTGATGGTCTTTTCAAAAATTTCCTCCAAACTTTAGACATAGCTCTGCCATCGATTCACACATAAGTCACTGTATTCCAGGAACAGCAGCATTCAAGTATATCAAAAGCACCTCATTTTTAGCCTGGGATTAGATAGTTCTATGTAATAGATGGCATTTCTTCACCTTTACTCCCCATATGCCAAACAAACAAATCTTCCAAACTGGTGGCAATACTTTCACTGTCTTTACCTAGGACATGGTCATAAAGAAGCTATCAGAATTTACTTCTCTCATAAAATGACATTGCTGGTTTTGGACTTTTTGTGTCTCTGTAGTCCTTATTAGTGACCCTCTAACAAATACATTTTTCAGGGTTTAGCTTTATTAAATATTCAGGCAGTGTCAATTTTTTTTTTCTGCTTTGACACATGTCTTGCTGGTTGATTTGTTTTAGATTTGTTGGCTCAATCTGCAGCAGTTCTGGTCATCACTTTCACAACAGAAATAATCACTACCTCAAGCTGAGGTTTACATCTATAAGAGAAGACTCAAGGCTAGCAACGTACTCAGATTTATACCAGGGTCCTCAAGCTGAAATGCAGCACTACAAGTTATTTGGCTAGCATATGTCCCCCGATACCATAGCTCCATTTTCCAAAAGAAATTAGCCTTGTTACAGTCCTACAGTGTTTTATTTAACACTCTACATCTCACCTCAGCCACCCGACTTTTAACTGTCTTCTTCTACCCAACTCCCCTAAGGAGATGCAGTAATTGGTGATTAGCATTCCAAAGCCATGCTTGCATCCTGTGAGCCTGTCATATTTAATTACATTTTAACTATATTCGTCTTCTATAATAGCCTGAACATAATTTAGATAATTATCTTTTGCTCTCTTATTCTCTGACTCTGCCTGTCTCACTTAGAGCTTCTTGCAATAAAATCACTTTCTCTGTTCAAACATATAAACAGACTCTTGGGCCAAGTGCTTTCATCTCTCCAATGGCAACAGCTGAAAACCCAATGGCTTTGTGCATCTCACAATCTCTTCACCATACTCTATTCAGAGGAAGAAAAAAAAATATTTGAAACCACTCTACTTTCATGTCTCTTCTTGTCTTTTTTCTTTATTAGGCTATTGCAAGAAAAATGCACGAAATACTCATGTCCAAAAGCTTGCTATTGCTTTAACTATCTATAGCTCCAAAATAGCAACTCACCTCCTAAAGAATATAA